TGTGTGTGTGTGTGTGTGTGTGTGTGTTTGAGGGAGAGAGAGAGAGAGGGAGAGAGAGGGAGAGAGATTGTGTGTGTGTGTGTTTGTGTGCGTGTGTGTGTTATATATGCATTGCATGGCTTCTGCGAGACTGCGACCGTGTCACAACATGTTGCGTCGAAAGGTGTGCTTATAAACAACACCGGGAAAGAGCCCGCAGCCTAGGATGCCCATAGAAAAGAATGCTTATAAAGCCCAACTTTCAAAAGTCGTGAAACAAAAAACGAACAGACCAGCGGTAAGACAAGTACACCAAGACAAACAAAACGGCAAGGCTGAGGTCAAAGCACAACACGGTACTTGGATGACACACCGCAAGAAAGAACAAAAAGTGAAGGGCAAGGGGGAGGCAATCGGGCAGACAAACAGCACTAGGCAGAAGAATAAGGCGGCCACGACAAGGCAACAAGACAAACAAAAGAACTAACAGCAAAAAAAAAAAACACAGTAAAAAAAACAAAAGATGAAAGATTGTTTCGTTGGAGTTGCACCGACTCATCAGGAGGTTTTACCCTTGACAATCTGCAGAATCCCCGTACTTGATGGTTTGGGTCATGAACCCTTTGACCCATGTTGAAGGCAGACTGTCCCCAACAGGAACATAGCAGCGGGCAGCAACCCTGTGAAGCACCAGACAACACAGTAGAGGCAACACGGCTGCACAACGCCAAAAATGACTGCAAGGAACAACATGGCACGCAGCACGGCAGTCGTGTAGTGAAGCACAAGGCAACACAAACAAGGCAACAATACTGCAGGAGACGACAAAGCGAGTGAACCAGCAGCTGGGCAACTGTGGAGCGGAGCACAAGGCACCAACAACAAGGCAACCAACCTACAGGGAACACAAGCAGCAAGCATGGAAGGCACGGCCAACGGATGAGCAGCACGGCAGTGGAGCAGCGAAGCCCAAGGCAACACCAACAACACGGCCATACCACACAACGAACACATCAACCCGCAAAGAACCACACACGAAGCAAACGGGACAGGCAGCAAGGCAGTGGCGGAGCGCAGACGAGGACGTCCACACATCCAACACGGAGCAAAGCAGCACATGACCTACTCACATCACGATAGAACCCCACAGAGTGTTGGTTCCCACCACCCACTGAGCCAGAGAGTCACTCCGACGAACATCCGTCATCACCGACAGGCAACACAGATATCCCGAACTGAGTAGCCCCCATAAGAGTGCAGTAGGCACTCCAAACGAGGAACCACCAACTGTTTGGCACTACTTAAGGGTGCTCAGTTGGACACACAAGAAAACTTAGAAAAAATCATGGGGAGGACATAGAACAGAAGAAGGACCAACAGACATAAAACTGATTGTGTGTGTGTGTGTGTGTATGTGTGTGTGCGCGTGTGTGTGTGCTCGAGTGTGTATGTCTATGTGTGTGTGACACTGTGTGTGTGGGCGCGGGTGTGTGCGTGTGTGTGTGCTCGTGTATGTTTGTGTGTGTGCGTGTGTGTGTGCGTGTGTGTGTGCTCGTGTATGTTTGTGCGTGCGTGTATGTGTGTGTGGGCGTGGGCGTGTGTTTGTGTGTGTGCGTTGGTGTGTGTGTGTGTGGTGGGGGGAGGGTAGGGAGGATCTCCCCCACCAATCAATCAATCAATCAATCAATCAATCAATCAATCAATCAATCAATCAATCAGTCAATCAATCAATCAAAAAACAATCACCTACCGGTATTTATTTTCTTTTTTTTTTTTCTTTTTTTTTTAATTCCACATACCAAAAAGGACCTCCCCGATATTTTTTTTTTTTTTACTTTTTTTTGTTCGAGGGGGTAGGGTCGGGGTTCAAGAACCCCAATCCGAAACCCCCACCCCCACCCCCAACCCCCACTCCCCTCGGCCACTGCGGCCGCGGCATTCCGCGGTCGCAGCGATCATGACCGAGGGTCCGCGGCCTCGGCCGCAGGCCGCGATCGTGCTCACGGTGACCGCGGTCGCGGGGGATTCATGGACGACATCCACCCTCGTCCTGGTCCGGGCAAGAACTACACCATCACCCACATGCCTAGTCTGGTCGGACGCTGCACGAGCGGCCTCCTGTGCCCGTACAACTCTCTCTCTCTCTCTCTCTCTCTCTCTCTCTCTCTCTCTCTCTCTCTCTCTCTCTCTCTCTCTCTCTCTCTCTCTCT